CATGCGATTCCCACTGACCCGACACTGACAGTATTTTATACTGATCATGTCCAGATTCGACTCTCGGATACCTACCACTCAGTGCGATATTGCTTTCCACGGACTGCTCATATCGCGACTTCCACCCCTTTACTCCAGTTTTCCGCGACCGGGACCAATCTTTCGATTGCTCACCCGCGCCTGTCACTTAACTTAACTAACAAAAGGGATCCGTGACGGGTACCCATGTGTGCTGTTTGGTGGCGGAAGACTGGGGAGTCTGCTAGCAAGCGACTTTATCTCGCTATTTGTTTCCGTGAATTGTATGGTTACAATGATACGGGTTTACCTCCCCGAGGGGTTGAAGGCAGACTGGTAGGGCAGATGCCGCTTTGTTGACAATACACAGCCGCACTGCTCAATGAAGAGATCGGTTCTGTCGCCTTTTGGAGCCAGCAGAACGCCTTCATTCGCCATTACCAACTTGACACGCATTCTAAGGATCGTGCTCGGTTCGGTCTTTCGGTCTCTCCAGTGGAGAGTGACCGCCACCCTGACCAAGCTAGTAACTGGTCATTGGTATCGGTTCTGTGTTCAATGTCATATATATTTCATATCACTACATCAGATTAGCCTTACCATCCTTTCGGTTGGGTCGGGTTTGGGTGTACATACGCCCCTTTACGCCCCTTCAAGAGGGCGGGTCCGCTTTTGAACGCTTTAACCAGTCATATGTTATTAACCCGCCTTTATGACGGAATTGGGTGCTAACTCCCCACGGGCACTGTTTGGTATGCCTCTTCGAGCCGCATGTCACGCGGACCAGGTTAGTGTAATGGTGAGCCAACATATGTTCGCCACGCTTTCGCTATTCAGGGATTTTGCACGCTTACAGTTTTTCCCTCTTCCCGAGCCTCGGCATTTGGGAGTCTGTGTTAATCAGCTTTGTGGGATGGTGGCCTACACTTACCCTCCTCACCGAGAGTGTTTGGTGGTGTTTTTCACTGCATAAATGCATGGCGCTTGTACTGCTCGATTTCTCAGAAAGTTTTAGCGAGGCTAATAATTTCTCTCTGGTTTTATCGAGGTCCCGCAAGCCCTCTTCCAAACAGGGGCTGCATCTCGAGCATTAGTTTGCAGTACTTATTAGCTCGACTCCTGGTTATTGGCTTTGTAGCTTAAATTTTTACGCTTCCCTACCCTTATACCTCTCTCGCCACGCATTGTCTGGCTGGGGCTATATTAGGGTTGGGAGTTGTTTCGCATGTCCCCATACATTCCTTCCATTGTAATGGTTGGGGCGGGTTTTATGTCATTGATATTGAGCCAATTGACATATAAGCTTGGGCTTTCTAGTTCCTCACTCGGGCCTGATTGACATCAGCGGTCAGGTGGCTCGGTGTTTTCTATTCTCAGATCGGGTTGTAGATTTCACTCCACCACGGGTTTAGTTGTTGCCAGACAGAATGCCACCCCTGCCTCAAATATCTTTGGGAGTCTGTCATATGCTTATATGTACCCCAAGGAGGACTTCTTCTGAAAAGAATTATACAAACCTGTAGAGGTTATGAATTCTTTGAAGAAAGTCCTCCTTGGGGTAAGGCCACCCCGGCCCCCCTCATTCTGTCTGACACGCTCAGCATGAAAAGTGAGGTACGAGGTAGACGGCGCAGAGTTACCTGCTCTTGGCTGTGTTGGTCCGGTGGGGCCCTGTAGGGTGGTCTCACAAGACAAAACGAAGTTTTTGTTTTGTAAATATTTTATTAAAAATATAGTTACAACTGTCGAGGATTTAAAATGGACATTTTAATGCTTATATGTACCCCAAGGAGGACTTTCTTCAAAGAATTCATAACCCTACAGGTTTGTATAAGAATCAACGCTGAAGTTTGACATATTATTAACGTTGAAAAATGGGTTGTGTCTGGGAGGTATTACGCTTTCCTGTAAATAGAGTCCCACTTCATCTTTAAACTACACTAAAGTAGCACCAAACTCATGCATCCAGCTAAAATACCCAAAAAGCTACCTGCAATAAACAGTGTTCAAACATAAAATTGCAGTAAAAATATTTACCAGATAAAATACTTGGTTAAAATTCCACATTCAATATAATGTTCATTTATGTTTTATGTCAGTTGGACGATAAATCCAGTAAGAAGAAAAAGAGTATTCCAAATTAAGTAAAACTATTTACTGTTGTATTGTTAGCTTGAAAAGGTGGAAATTGTCCCGGCCAAGACATTTTGTCTGAATTTCTGCTATTAGACAGACCCCTGAATAAACACAATGCAATTACATTTTCACCATGAAAGGGATCCAAGATGACCAGGAACTGGCGGTCAGGTGGATACTTCAGAAACATTCCTAACTCTTTCTTGAAATTTGCTTCGGATGCATTCCCATCTCATTCCCATGAGATAGGACACATTCTGAAATTTTATATTTAAATACATGAATAATTTATATGGAAGATATATTGTCTTAAATGATTCAAGTATTTGTTTAATCAATCACTTGAAAGGTTCATTTCACTGCTGCAACATGGCATGTGAACATATGAACAGCATCAATACAAAAATGTGACGAAAAGTGTAAACAATTTATATTTTCAACTAAAGGAATGGAAGTTTTCTTTAAACATTTTCAAAGAAAATCCTCAATTGCAAGTTGATTATTCAATTAGACTATGAATTAGGATGAATTAGACGATGCTTTACTGTCATATTTTATTTGCTATGGTCATGATGAAAATGCTGCATTTGGTAATTAAATTACCAGAGATGATTGAATACAACCTTGTATTCTTAAAAGAAAACTACAGCTTTTGCCCATCAACATTCATTCTTGACATCAAATTGTTTGACATTGTCCTGCAAAACAATGGAAGATTGTTGTTATTCTGTCAGATTTAGTTTTCTTTAACAGATTCTCGAAACCCATTATTTCAAATTAAATAGGAGTTGTACTGATGTAGCAATTTTGCTAACAGGAGTCATAAATTGTAACAAAAGCCATTTTACATTAAATAAGAAAACAAAATGGGTGGTGGTTCACAGGTCAAAGAACAAGTCTATTGTGGGAGGTCTTCCAACACCATTTATTTCCAAACACAAGGAAGTATGGATCATGGAGTTCTGAAAACAATAATGAGCTCCTCATAAGTATACAATATATTCCCTATTATCTACTCTGTCTCTTTGTCATTTGTACACTCATAAAACTCAGATAAATAACTTCTTCATAATTCAGAAATGTTTACACTTGATCTCTTATAGGAACGCTTTTAGAAAATCTCTCATATAATGAATTATGTGTGCCTATAATATCTCGCGACGCCATAACTATGCTTCTCTGAATCGTGAACAATAAAAATAATGAGATTAAACTCTACACTGCCAGAAATAATCTATCATACCCTGAATAAGACACTGAATAACATCTCTTACAACTCCAATCTACACTCAAAAAGACTTAAATGTACTCGAAAACAAACATCGCTGGCAATACTAATTAAATTCTTGGAAACAGTGTATCTCTGACTCTCAATTCCAAGAAGTGGAAGTCCTACTCTATTTGACCAAAGGGATGACAGGTGGCCAAAACATATTGAAATGTAGGTCATACACTGAAAATAACTCTGATTTAAAACACTACAAATATACACTTCTCTCTAATATACTCGATAGATGATCTTGACAAGGAACATGTACATAAAATGCTGATATCTAACAATACCTGTACTCTAAATAATGGACTCTTCCAAATCGCAGAGTATGTTTCTTAACTGCATACACATTTAAATGCAAAATAATGAAAACCTACACTTTGACAATAATAAAGAAACATCATATTCAAATCTCTACAGCTGACCAAATACCTGAAGAGTGTGTCTCCCAGCAATAAACATCTATATATATTCTATAAATTTATGACTTCTGTCCTCTCACAAGGCTATCTCAAGATCCAGCTCTTCACGCAAAACAATATGGCGCCAAGCAAGGAGTGCTCATTAAACTAAACATCTCCGAGAAATCATTGTCAAATTATTCTCTTACATGATCAACCTTTTGTGGTGGATATACTGGAAACAAGTGAAATGTTAAAACTTGTTACCTTAGCATTGCTCCTTTTATGTGATCCACAAAATTGCTGCCACCCAGTCTTCTCAAGATGAGATTTCTGCAAATTCCATTAAAATTATATCTTATTTCATAATTAAATGTTCCTTACTTAATTACTTCTTTTGTATGTAACATTTTAACCTTTCAGAGACATGAATCATCACATCCTTCCAAACAAGTGTAAGAATGAAAGTCTGTGAGTGCAGTTTTGTTAATTGTCCCATCAAAGAATCATTAGTGAAATGTAAACAAAGTTACATAATGATGAAATTATGACACAAATACAAATAATTTTTACGATTTTTTTACATGTAATACATAGTAGTCATTGCCAAATCCATACACAGCGTAATTTTGAAGAATAGGATCTAAATAAAAAGGATATAATGCCGTATATGGGACTCCAGTGCTCGCCCAACCATCCATTCGGGCGAAAAGGGAGAGAGTGACAAGTAAGGCTGGTCACATGACTGTTTACGCTGGAAAAGGGAGGTAACTCGTGGGTGAGTGTATTTTTACGCGTTCACTTCGGGAACTTTAAGGGATTCGAGTGTTCCACTACCATTCGCAAGGGAAAGGGAGATAAGCAAAAGATCATGAGTCAGGATAAGAGAAAATTACAGTTTTGTGAGAGAGATTCTGTGGAAAGTTGCTGATAGGAAAAATAGAAATCATGATATCATGTCTTAAAAATTTTGATGGAGATTTTGTCATGCAAGATAGTGATATTACACACAGGATGACATGTAAGAAGAGGTAATGCAATATGGGTTTGGAATTGATGATTTGCCTTATTTGTTTTTACTGGACTTGAAGTACAAATATAATTGTTGTAGTCAGTATATTGTTTTAAAGTGTTTTTGTTGATGACCGTCATGTTTGTTGTGACTGTTGTAGAACCTGAGGCAGGTCTGGAAGATGGAGATGCCCAAGTACAGATGGGAAAAATTATCCCATTGCTTCAGGTATGCTTATTATGGTTATGATGTTCAGAATAAACCTCTATACCACAGCGTGATGACTGACAGGTGAAACTAAACTCTGGTGATGTACAGGGCCGGATACTGCTTTTTGAGAAAAAGGGGGTGCGCAGTTCAGAAAGGGGGGAAGTGCACAGTTCATTTTCACCCATTTTCTCAGGAGTTTCAATGGTCATTTAATAAACTTTCAGCACAAAAGCGCACTCCCCCTTTGGATGAGTCTATGATGCATCATTACTGTAGCAACAATACTGAGATCTGGTCATCAGCACCCCATGGTAGGGGTGGAAGGACCAGTCCACTGGTGGTGGTTTTGGGGTACATCCCCCTGGAAAATTTGGAATTTTAAAAATGAAATGGTTATATAGGAGGCCTTGAATTCATATGGTCCAGTCTTTCTGCTGTTTTTGTGGCTTTATGGCAGGGCTCACTCAGCAGGCACTTCAACGTTGAGAATAGGTTGGTCCTCAACGTTGAAATTAGATTGAAAATAGGTTGTATATGAAAGGTTTTTAGACGTAGCTATCCGACGTGGAATCAACGTTGAAGTTTGACCTATTATCGACGTTGAAAAAAGGTTGTATATGAAAGTTTTTTAGACGTAGATATCCGACGTGGAATCAACGTTGAAGTTTGACATATTATTAACGTTGAAAATGGGTTGTTCCGTGGTTGTATATGAAAGTTTTTTAGACGTAGATATCCGACGTGGAATCAACGTTGAAGTTTGACATATTATTAACGTTGAAAATGGGTTGTGTCTGGGAGGTATTACGCTTTCCTGTAAATAGAGTCCCACTTCATCTTTAAACTACACTAAAGTAGCACCAAACTCATGCATCCAGCTAAAATACCCAAAAAGCTACCTGCAATAAACAGTGTTCAAACATAAAATTGCAGTAAAAATATTTACCAGATAAAATACTTGGTTAAAATTCCACATTCAATATAATGTTCATTTATGTTTTATGTCAGTTGGACGTATAAATCCAGTAAGAAGAAAAGAGTATTCCAAATTAAGAAAAACTATTTACTGTTGTATTGTTAGCTTGAAAAGGTGGAAATTGTCCCGCGAAGACATTTTGTCTGAATTTCGGCTATTAGACAGACCCCTGAATAAACACAATGCAATTACTTTCACCATGAAAGGGATCCAAGATGACCAGGAACTGGCGGTCAGGTGGATACTTCAGAAACATTCCTAACTCTTTCTTGAAATTTGCTTCGGATGCATTCCCATCTCATTCCCATGAGATAGGACACATTCTGAAATTTTATATTTAAATACATGAATAATTTATATGGAAGATATATTGTCTTAAATGATTCAAGTATTTGTTTAATCAATCACTTGAAAGGTTCATTTCACTGCTGCAACATGGCATGTGAACATATGAACAGCATCAATACAAAATGTGACGAAAAGTGTAAACAATTTATATTTTCAACTAAAGGAATGGAAGTTTTCTTAAACATTTTCAAAGAAAATCCTCAATTGCAAGTTGATTATTCAATTAGACTATGAATTAGGATGAATTAGACGATGCTTTACTGTCATATTTTATTTGCTATGGTCATGATGAAAATGCTGCATTTGGTAATTAAATTACCAGAGATGATTGAATACAACCTTGTATTCTTAAAAGAAAACTTGCCGTTTTGCCCATCAACATTCATTCTTGACATCAAATTGTTTGACATTGTCCTGCAAAACAATGGAAGATTGTTGTTATTCTGTCAGATTTAGTTTTCTTTACAGATTCTCTGAAACGATTATTTCAAATTAAATAGGAGTTGTACTGATGTAGCAATTTTGCTAACAGGAGTCATAAATTGTAACAAAAGCCATTTTACATTAAATAAGAAAACAAAATGGGTGGTGGTTCACAGGTCAAAGAACAAGTCTATTGTGGGAGGTCTTCCAACACCATTTATTTCCAAACACAAGGAAGTATGGATCATGGAGTTCTGAAAACAATAATGAGCTCTCATAAGTATACAATATATTCCCTATTATCTACTCTGTCTCTCTTTGTCATTTGTACACTCATAAAACTCAGATAAATAACTTCTTCATAATTCAGAAATGTTTACACTTAATCTCTTATAGGAACGGCTTAGAAAATCTCTCATATAATGAATTATGTGTGCCTATAATATCTCTGCGACGTCATAACTATGCTTCTCTGAATCGTGAACAATAAAATAATGAGATTAAACTCTACACTGCCAGAAATAATCTATCATACCCTGAATAATAAGACACTGAATAACATCTCTTACAACTCCAATCTACACTCAAAAGACTTAAATGTACCGAAAACAAACATCGCTGGCAATACATAAATTCTTGGAAACAGTGTATCTCTGACTCTCAATTCCAAGAAGTGGAAGTCCTACTCTATTTGACCAAAGGGGTGACAGGTGGCCAAAACATATTGAAATGTAGGTCATACACTGAAAATAACTCTGATTTAAAACACTACAAATATACACCTTCTCTCTAATATACTCGATAGATGATCTTGACAAGGAACATGTACATAAAATGCTGATATCTAACAATACCTGTACTCTAAATAATGGACTCTTCCAAATGTAGTATGTTTCACTGCATACACATTTAAATGCAAAATAATGAAAACCTACACTTTGACAATAATAAAGAAACATCATATTCAAATTCTACAGCTGACCAAATACCTGAAGAGTGTGTCTCCCAGCAATAAACATCTATATATCTCTATAAATTTATGACTTCTGTCCTCTCAAGGCAGTGCTATCTCAAGATCCAGCTCTTTACGGCAAAACAATATGGCCAAGCAAGGGAGTGCTCATTAAACTAAACATCTCGGGAGAAATCATTGTCAAATTATTCTCTTACATGATCAACCTTTGTGGTGGATATACTGGAAACAAGTGAAATGTTAAAAACTTGTTACCTTAGCATTGCTCCTTTTATGTGATCCACAAAATTGCTGCCACCCAGTCTTCGAAGATGAGATTTCTGCAAATTCCATTAAAATTATATCTTATTTCATAATTAAATGTTCCTTACTTAATTACTTCTTTTGTATGTAACATTTTAACCTTTAAGAGACATGAATCATCACATCCTTCCAAACAAGTGTAAGAATGAAAGTCTGTGAGTGCAGTTTTGTTAATTGTCCCATCAAAGAATCATTAGTGAAGTTACACATTTTGTAAATAAATAAAAGTTCAAATAAATTATATGCAATTTCATCCCTAACAAAGACTTGCACAAGACATTTTGATGTGAATTTTCGTTGCATGATCTGAGAAAGATTTCCTTTCACCATTCTCCACCCCCCCCCCCTCCCCCAAAATAATATGCATATGTTGACAGGGTTCAGAGCGTGCTCAATGCATAATTTACTGATAGACCTATTCAAACGAACAAATGTTCATGATAATGTGATGCAATATAAAATGTTGATAAATTCTATTCGATTTTGTATAGCTGCCCTTAGGGACCGTTCATAATGTATGGCTTGGGGGTGATGATGATTTTTATGGAGAAGCATGTACAATGTGAATTACCCTTTCCCCGTAAAGTGTATGTACGAAATAAGTGACGCTCCACCCTGCATGTCATGTACATATGCATATCTGCATATCTATGACGCCCTCTCCCCTTCCCATAATTTCTAAGCATCATATTAAACATAGTGCGTGTGTACAAAAATGCTGACCCCCTTAGCTCCCCTGAACAAAATGGGTGACCCCACCCCACCCCCACCCTTACAATCATCACCCCCACCCACAGCCATATAATTGTGAATGGTCCACAGGCCCCCACTGTGGGTCAGAAAATCGATAAACTAGGCCCGGTTTAGTATCAACACCCCTACTATATATTCTGACCCGCAGTGTAGTAGGGGGTGTTGATACTAAACCGGGGCCTAGTTTATCGATTTTCTGACCCGCAGTGGGGGCCTGTGGAATGGTCCCTTATATTGGTGTACTTCATTGATTATTTGAAAATGTATATTTGCAAAATTCAAATCAGGTGATGGGTACGAAAGGAAATCTTATTCGATTATATAATAAAATGCCAAATATATGCATGCAAATATATTGAAAAATAACAAAACAAGTTCATGGAAAACACGGGCTTCCACTAAATTTTGAGAAACATGTACGTGACATACCGGTAACCTTGTGAGATAAAACATGAGCCCTAATTCGAGTTTCTTGCTACATTGACCTGCTAGATTTAACAACATTCCTACGTTTTCAGAATTATACAAATTTTTCCTTATCCTGACTCATGCTTATTGCTTGTCTTCTTCTTCTTGCGAACCTAGTGGAACACGTGTATCTCCCAATTGAAGTTCCCTTCAATAAAAAATCACTCATTAGTACTCACCACGAGTAACCTCCCTTCCGATGGCGCGAGAACGAGGGCGCCACCTGCCCCCATGTGCCTCACTCTCTCCTTCTTCGCCCAGTGAGCTGGACGTGAGAGCGCCTGTGTCTCCCAACACACTATATCCTTTATTTAAATTTAGTTTAGTACCTCTTATACTTAGTATAGAGGTGTTACTAGTATCCTTATTCAATTTTGCATTGATTATTAATCGTGTTTCTGCTGTTTATTCACGGTTCGCCGTGTTTGTTCAGCAGTTTACGTTAATGAGAATCTGCACAGATTGTAAACTACGTTACTCTGCGACAGACCCACATTTAAAATGCCCTAGTTGCATTACTCCATGTTCATTTGTTTCTCGTTGTAAATTTTGTATTAATTTACCAATTTCTGCCTTTGATAAATATTTATGTTCCGTTTTTAGACGGAAGGCAGATAAATCTCGTAAACAAATCTCAGTCATGGCTAATAGATCACATATTAATGTTCCCTGTCAACTGTTGACTGACGACCCGCCACCGGCTGGTGGCATGCCTGAGTTTCCCTCGGGGGATAAGCGTGGGACGCAGTCCGCTATGTCCAAGAAGCGACCTGCGTCTCAAGATCTGTCGTCTTCTCAGTCTAAGACTAGCAAAGCGTCCATATCATCTCATGCGCGCCATTACACCCAGGTCTACAACGTCAAAGGGAAGTCTACAAAATCTAATAATTTTGCCTCTGATATTTTACCAGTCACAGAATTAGCCTTATATGATGATGACATTCCGATTATCATTCCAGAGGTTCGTCACAAGAAACGTCCGGTATCCGCGACTGTCACCTCAGCGCAGATTAACACACAACCGGAGATGCCTACGCTGTCACCAGAAATTTTGACTGAGGGTCCCGTCACCGTCGCAGAGAGACAACCCTCATCATCAGCGCAGACCGCCTCAGACGACCTGGTCAACCAAATCATGAGGCTGATGGAAGACCGTTACGGTTTACAGAGGCCCCAGAGCCACGGGCCCCAGAGCCCAACCCATTTTAAGTCATACAGGGCCCCAGAGCCCGCCTTGGCTTCGCGTAGGGCCCCAGAGCCCACAGACGAGCCTCCGCGAAGGGCATCCCAGCCCGGAGCGAGCTCTTTGCATAGGAAGTCCCAGGCCACCTCCGCGAAGGAGCTAGAGCCTCACCTATTGCGAGAGGCTTCGCGGAGAAGGAGCGCTTCGCCGAGCACGCACCTTGTAATTCACAGAGGTCGTTCGCGAAGCAAGCGCTCACATGTCGATTCGGACACTGACTCGAGACATTCGCGAAGGACGCGAAGGCTAAGTGGTTCCATTTCTACCTCGCCTAGAAGAGCTTCGCGAAGCCCCCAGCGTTCGCGAAGCCCCCAGCGTTCGCGAAACAACCAGCGTTCGCTGAAGCCCCAGTGTCGAGAAGCCCACAGCGTTTGCGAAGCCCTCACCGTTCGCGAAGCCGCCAGCCTTCGCGAAGGATGTCTTCTCCAAGGTCTCCGTACACTAGCCACTCGTCAGTCCGTTCTCCACAGTCCTCACATAGATCTTCCCATAGATCTAGGACTCCGACATATGACCATACGTCAGAAGAGGAGGATGGTATCATTTTCTCAGATGCTGAGATAAGATATTGGATGGTGAATGAATTACAACTTGCCTCCCCATCAAAGAACGAGGATGCAACTCAGACTTACTTGATGAAAGATGATGATGTAGATTATATCACCTTACCTCCTATTGACCCAATCGCAGCCGTACCAGCTAAACTAGATACAGCCTGCTCCAAATCCACTAAAGCCCAATCTACTCATTTACCGGTCTTCAATGCCAAGAAATTTGCTGGACATAATATGGAACCCTTTTTCAAGGCCCAGGATATTGATGACAACTTTCAACTTATCTCGGATACCAAGTCCAGAAGTTACAGAGTAGACGATCGCAAACTGGCCCAATTAGATACCATTTCCAGGAGGATGTTCTTCGGATTAAATAGGTCTAGAACTATTAATGAGACTCTCATCACCAAGTTCAAGAATTCTACAGATGAGGAAGACAGAATGATCTATTCAGCTCTACTCATGCAGAAAAAAGACCACCAATTCCTTACAGAACACCTTTCAGCGCTTACTGAAACTACTACCATGATGCGTAGGCAAGGACTACTAGCCTCCTGCTCTTGGAATAAGCAATTCACAGAGCCTCTTTACACAGCTCCATGGTCATCGCCCTTTCTGTTTGGTGGCAACATTAACAAGGTCTCCAAAGAAGTATCTAAAGATTCCAGAGAGGTACTTATGATTAGATCCATGGATACCTTAGCGAACGCCTTTAAACAGTCAGCACAGAGATACTCGGGCAAGTCTAAGTTCTCAGGGCTACAGAGAGCACGGGACAAGAAACTAGCTGCTGCTAATAATCCCAAGGATTCTTTTAAATCAAGCCCATACAGCAAATTTAGAGGAGGATCAGCGAGAGGCAGATCATCCAGAGGTGGCCGTGGATTTAAACGATGAAAGGCAGGTTCGGAACGACTGGAGTCTTCCACCCCCAGTCATTCCAGTACAACCTTCTCAAGTGGGTGGACGTCTTCAACTACACTGGGAAAACTGGGGAATACTACAAGATCCTTATGTATCCAACATCCTACAGCACGGATATCTCATACAACTCAAGACCAAGCCGCCGTCAACAGTCACCCCACCAAGGTTCAACGTTCAACCGGCTCAACTACCTATGTTAAGAGAAACAGTACAGTCTCTGCTAAACAAACAGGCCTTAGAAGTTCTGGATCAACGAAACATCGTACCAGGTTTCTACTCCCCAGTTTTCCTAGTGCCCGAAAAAGAATTCCAAGGAGAAGTATCGTCTCATTTACAACATGAGCACCTTCAACAGAGAATATCTATGCAAACCACCAACGTTTCGCATGATACATTTACCACAACTGCGGCAATTAATTTGTCCACTAGATTACATGGCCAGCATAGATTTGCAAGACGCATATCTACACATTCCGATTCATCCCAGCTCAAGGAAATATCTAAGATTTATCCTAGACGGCAAACATTACCAATGGAAGGTACTTCCCTTCGGAATCACTTCAGCCCCTTGGGTATTCACAAGAGTAACCAAGCCTATTGTCTCATACCTACATCGTCAAGGTCTGCGGAGCGCATTTTACCTAGACGACGGTATACAAGTGGATCCAGATCCACAGCGTCTCAGACTACAGCTGAACTTTATAATCAAGTTACTAACTCAATTAGGTTGGTTAGTAAATCTACTCAAGTCGGACCTAGAACCAACCCAGGATCTGCATTTTCTAGGTATACGATTCCTTACAGCTCAGAATCGTTTAGTAGTCCCGGAGGACAGATGGATCAAGATCCAACAACTGATTCCCCAAGCCCTACTCTCTCCGTTACCACTACGACAGTGGCAGAGCCTATTGGGACTACTCACATCAGCTCAAGACCTGACACTCAGAGGCAGGCTTCAATTGCGTCCATTACAAGTCCTCATCAATGCTCATCTCGAGGACCCTCTACCGTTCAGTCTACCAGATTACGTCAAACCACATCTACTCTGGTGGACCAAGAGATTGAATGTTTGCGCAGGCGTCTCCTTAGTAGAGCCGGAATCGAAAACACATCTCTACGCAGACGCGTCACTAAAAGGTTGGGGAGCCCACCTTGCCGGCAGGACAGCGTCAGGCCTATGGAGCAAGCAAGAGAGCAAATGTCACATAAATCTGCTAGAGATGCAAGCAGTCATAAACGCCATAAGTCACTGGAGCAACCTACTACAGAACGCTCAGTTGATGATTCACACAGACAATTCAACAGTGGTGTTTTATGTGAACAAACAAGGTTCAACAAGATCACTGAATCTACTCAACCGTTGTTTCAGACTGTTCGATTTAGTCGACAATCTAAACATACATGTCAGAGCTTGCCACATTCCAGGAGCAAAGAATGTTTTAGCAGACGCGCTCTCTCGGCCACACCAGCCGTCGCCAACAGAATGGATGCTCCACACAGAGATATTCAATCAAATAATCATGGAAATAGGATCTCCATTGATAGACCTATTTGCCACTCGATTCAACAAACAACTGACAACCTTCGTATCGCCAGTGCCAGACCCACTAGCATGGGCAACGGACGCACTAAGCATATCGTGGGAGGGACTCAACGCGTGAACGCTTTCCTGCCTTGCATTAATCCCACAAGTCTTACAGAAAATCAGTCAAACGAAGAGCCTCGATCTCATTTTGGTCGCGCCATACTGGCCTGCGAGAACGTGGTTTCCAAATCTCATGCTAGGAATCGGAAAACCAGTACTTCAGCTACCACTGCGCACCAATCTATTGATACATCCGCACACCAAACAAGTGCACAAGACACCAGAAGCATACCAACTTCACGTGTGGATTGTATCAAGGCATGTTTGAATAAGAGAGGTTATTCTGCCAGAGCTGCTAAAGCGGTCACGCTTGCACTCACGTAACTCAACTCGTAACTTGTAGCATGCGATGACAAATGGCACAGCTTTGTCAATTACGCTGCTAAGAAAGGATTTACAGCCAGATATGCTACACATCCTCAAGTGGCAGATTTCTCAGTTACCTACGTCAAACTAAGAATCTAAAAGGCTCAACCTTATCCACTTATCTTGCAGCCTTAAGTTCTGTCATAACTATGAGAACGGGCGTCAAGCTGACCAAAACACCGGAGTTACTTTCGCTTTGTTACGGCGTTCGATTGGAAGATCAGAAACGGAAGTTTCAAGCTCCAGCCTGGGATCTAAATATAGTACTCCAACACCTCACGAGTGAGGCTTATGAGCCATTGTTATCTGCTTCGTTTGAATCACTGACCCACAAGACCTTATTCCTGTTAGCATTTGCTACTGCCGCCAGGATGTCTGAGATTCACGCTTTGGATTACGAGAGAACACGCTTTGATGATACTCATAACATCGCTCATCTGGGACTCCGCTGGGATTTTATAGCAAAAAATCAACTGCCAGGTCAACCAGACAGGTTGTTCCATGTCCCAGCTCTCTCATCCATACTTGGACCGCATGATACGATGGACCTATCACTTTGCCCTGTACGTGCACTGAAATTATATCTCCAACGATCCAAGAATAGTAGAGGGAAATTCAAAAGATTGTTTATCCCTATATCCACCGCTTCGCAGACAGAAGTGTCGCGTACTACGATTTCTATTTGGATCAGAACTGTCATACTACGAGCCTACAAGGCTGCAGGACTCGACCCTCCAAGAGCTTCTAATCCTCACGAAATTAGAGCGCTAGCCTCAACTCTCGCTCTACATGGAAATTGCTCGTTGAATACCATTATGGAGGGATGTTTTTGGAGATCCGATATGGTGTTTGCCAACCACTATCTGAGAGATATCACCACCAAGGATGTCTCAGGTATCCACCATTTCGGTCCCATGGTCCTCGCTCAACAGTTGACAGTTCCACGGAGAAGATAAGTTTATCTTACAGATTTATACTTATCTGATAACAGTACTAATAGCTACATGCTATCTGTATATTGTTGCTAAAGTTAATTTATTATCTTAAGCGCAGTACTATGATTCTATATCATACTATATATATGCTTTCAACTCCTAGGAGTTCTGCTATTATATATATGTTCAGCTTAAGTTATCAATCCTTAAGCTCAGTCATATGTTCAATTCATAACATGTATTAGTTAACAAACTCTAAGTAGTTGGTTACTATTATACAGCTTAAGTTATATTATTTCTTAAGCACAGTACTATTATAGCTTATATATATGCATATTGTAAGCTTAATACTTTCAGTTCATTATAAAAGTATTCACTATAAACTCTCAGAAGTTTATACTATCACATTAATGGCTTCAGTTTACCTTAATGTTGTATATACTTTTATTATCTTCACTAAAATTGTAATAACCTTTATATGGCAGCTGATAAGTTAACAGCAGGAATTCTTCAGTTCAGTGCCTTTATGAAGTTCCCATAGGGTTATTACAATTATCTCAGTTCAAAATCACTAATTATTAAAATCCAAAGTATATATAATCCCACCTCCTGTTCCGTCGGATTCTACAAGCAATAAGCATGAGTCAGGATAAGGAAAAATATGAAATTTTTAGAGTAAAATTAATATTGTATACTTATCCTGACTCATGAGGTAAATTCCCTCCGTCCTCCCCACTAAACACTTTGGATTTCTTGAGGAAAAATAAAGTGTCGGGCTCAAAACAAATAAGGAGAGAGTGAGGCACATGGGGGCAGGTGGCGCCCTCGTTCCCGGGCTTGCGGAAGGGAGGTTACTCGTGGTGAGTACTAATGAGTGATTTTTTATTGAAGGGAACTTCAATTGGGAGATACACGTGTTCCACTAGGTTCGCAAGAAGAAGAAGACAAGCAATAAGCATGAGTCAGGATAAGTATAAAATATTAATTTTACTCTAAAAATTTCATTTTTGACAGTTTTGTGGGAAAATATCAAATGTAATACAATTCGGATAACTGATGACTTTATACCTAAAATCATTGATGTTTTCATTGTCAATAGCGATTTACGTAATATTTCCGTCCGTTGATCGATGCACAATCAAACAATATATAAGATTATATGTGTCACTAGCTCGATCTTGATCTTTTATGAAATTAATGTTCCGAAATGATAGTTGCTAAGTTGGATACCTATTACCAATATGAATTATGTATCAAATTTGCCAAGGAAACAATTAGTTGACATTTTGTTGGTTCCTTACGTTGAAACAACGTTGACAACTAAACGAATCTCGACTAACTTTCTTTGGTCGCATGATAAACGTTGAATCAACGTTTATGAAAGGTTGATCAACCAAACAACCAAAATTCAACGTTGATTAAACGTTGACTCAACGTTGTGTGCCCGCTGGGTACCATGTCAATGAATCCAAATTTACATAAGCAATTTGACTTTGTTATTACACAGTCTGGTTATTAATTGCTGTCTTTTGTTTGTTTTTATTCAAAATTATTAACTTTATTTATAATTTCATT